GAGGAGGAGCTAGCGATGGTGAGCAGGTCGACCTTGAACCAGGAGACCGCGAATTGCAGGATTGCAGCACTCTCCCAGGGTATGGATGCTATGGTGGATGATCTGGAGCCGCTGGACAAACCTGAGCAGGCTCGAGCGGTGCTACAAACCTATACAGTGTCGCTGGCCGAAGTCAAGAAGGACATCAACTTGTGGAAGGAGCCGCTGCAGGCCGAGATGGAGGCTTTGGTGAGCTCTGGAACGATTCGCCGGGTGAAGGTGGATCAGTTGGTGCATGAGCCTGGCTACGACCGGATGGAGGTGGCACCAGCGAAGGTTGTCCCGACGATCAAATCACCCTCGGGAAAGCGGAAGGCGAGAATCGTCATCTGCGGCAACATGGTGCATCCTGCTGGGCATGTGAAACCTTCACAACTTCCTGATGGTGGAGTTCATGGTTGTCATCGACCTCATGGAGCAGCATCACCGGCGGTGCAGAACCTCGGGGATGGGAATGACCCGAATGGGGATGGATCCGAAAGGCCTGGAGGTGGCGGGCCGGCCGCTGCCGCAGATCTTTATGCAGGTGGTGTTGACTCTACGGCTCTGAGGTGTGTCCTGAGGAAGGCAGCAGGGGCTTCTTGGTCCTTGGCATCAACGGACGTGAGAGGGGCATTTCTATTGGCTCCCAGATCACAGACCCGACGGCAGCTTTTGGTGGTGGAGCCTCCGCGACTTTTGACCTCAACTGGCTTGGTCTCTGCGGAGGAACGTTGGATCTGTGACGGTGCCATGTATGGTTTAGATACTTCCCCAGCAGATTGGGCATCATTCAGGGACTGCCGCATGTCGTCCTTCCGATGGGAGACTCCAACTCACCGGTGCCACTTAGCGAGATCGCCAGAACCCAACATCTGGTCAATCATGGGGGTTTCCAAGACCAACTACCCGGAGGCAGTCATCAACGATGATGCTCATGCGGATCCTCTTGGCTTCCTCATTGTCTATGTGGATGACATCCTTTGTGCTGGACCTCGCCATGTGGTTGAAGCTTCTTTGGGCCGAATCCGGGATGAGTGAACGTGCTCGGAGGTGGAGTGGGTCAACGAGGTCAAATGGCTGAAGTTCTGTGGGATGCAGCTCAGATGGCAGGGAGACTCCTTGCTCTTGGGTCAGCCTGACTTTGCCCGCGAGCTTCTTGAACGACATGGTCCAGTTCCTGGTTGCCAAGTTCCACTTCCGAAGATTGACATGGCTCCGGATGTGGAGGACAGCATTGACCCTGCGGATGTTCGCAGGTGCCAGCAGTTGCTGGGAGAACTCCTTTGGTTGAGTGGTCGAACCCGACCTGACCTGGCCTTCGCCGTATCGACCTTGAGCGGTTGGGTGACAAAGTGCCCCAAAAAGGTTAAGGAGCTGGGACGCTACTTGCTGGGCTACCTGCAGGAGACCTGGGAGTTTGTCTTGACCTACAAGAGCTGTTTGACAGATCAGGGGGAGCCAACCGATGAGCTGATGAAGCTCACCCTCCTGTCGGATGCTTCACATGCCCCACAGGGACTTCGTGGTTGCCAAGGCATATTGGCACTGTGGGGTGGCGCTCTGGTCCAATGGGAGAGCAAAAGGCAACCCTTTGCTGCTCTGAGCAGTACGGAGGCCGAGCTCATTGGATATGTGGATGCGCTGACGATGGGCGAGTCGCTTCAGGTTATCCTGAACATCCTGGAGCACAACGCCATGATCGATGATGGCCAGTTTGAGATCCGAGGCGACAATCTGTCTGGGATCCAATTGTTGCTGGCGCCTGATGGTCCTTGGCGCACACGCCACCTGAGGCTGAGGAGCTTCGTCCTGCGAGAGCGATTGGCTTCTCGCGAGTGGCATGTGGAACACGTTCCTGGAGCAGAGCTGGCGGCCGATTTGCTGACGAAGCCTGTGGTGCTGCTGACTAGCTGGGAGTCGTTCCGTAGGACCTTAGGTTTGACCAAGTTTTCCATGCCGGATGAAACATCACGGCTTTGTCGCCTGGCTGAGGCAGTAGTTGCTCTCGGAGGATTGGTGCTCCAAAACGGAGCTAACCAGTTGGTGAAAACTGCTGGAGCTGTTAGCCTGTCGGCTCTCACGGCGTGGATGTGTTGTCATGAAGGGCTGGCATCTATGGCTAAACCAGTTGAAGAGAAAACCAAATCAAGACCAGCACAAGAACATGAAAAGAGGCCTAGGGAAAACGAACCGGGCCCTGCTAACCCTACTGAACCTACTTCCGACTGTAGCCTCACAGGCTCCCCAATCGTGCCTCGCCTTTGTGCTGTGCGTGGAGCCATGGCTGCTGGATCGTGGAGCGGTCCATGGGATGATGCAGAGTTCCAGAGCTTGCCGACGGGAAGCAGTGACCGCTGGCGCAGCTTGCCTGGTGGGTGGTGGGTCAGGGTCCACGGTGGACTCCGATCCAGGCTGTACCACCCGGTGCACACAAGCACCCCTGTGAGGTGTGAGGACTTGGAGCCGGAAAGGACGACTGTGGTGTGGCATTGCACCGGTGGTCGACCTTGGACCCGGCTGGTGCACTGCGACCACTGGGGCTTTGGAAGCCAGCCTGTGCCAGGGGTTGGACAGTGGAAGGGCTTCACCTTTTTCAGGATCAAGGAGGGCGACCAGAGTGGGGCCAACAGCTCAGGGTTGCCCAGGATCCGACCTGATGTGGTGACCTGGAGCGAGGAGAACCTACCACCGATGGTGAAGCAGGGTGGCATGTCAAGTGCTTACCCACCACCTGGGGCCAGAGAAAGCACCGAAGAAGAGGAGGCTGACCCAGGAGTTCCGTTTGAGCACGGGATGGTCCAACCTGGAAGAAAGCCACCACCTCAGGCTTGGTTCCAGCGACAGAATATGCAGGGTTGGAGGAACCGTATGGCCAAACCACCAGCAGTTCCAGTACACCATGCAATGGCAGGACCACCGCCAGCGGGTCTACCACCTCATGGGATGGCAGGATCGCTTCCAACTGGTCCGCCTCCTAGCAGTGCAGGGCAGAGTGGCGTGTCGAGTGCCGGTCCACCGCCCGGAGCTGGAGCTGCACCGAAGCCGATAGCTGAGGGGTACTGCAGGCCAACGCATAAGTATGGCCGGTATCAGGCTCCTGCAGAAGCTGAAGGAGACCATCCGCGTGGCCGACCTGGACCTGGACCTCGTGGAAGAGCCGCTATGGGCATTGGTGGGCCGATCGATGCTCGAGAGGAAGGCCGGATGACTTCGGCCGGATCTATGTCGATGGGAGCAGGACCTATGGGGGTCATCCCAACTGGAGTTGGAGATCGATCTGGTGAAAACCCGCTGCTGGCTTCTTTGAGGTTGGAGATGCGACCTCCAGAGCAGAACCCAGGTGGCTTGGCATCGTCGAGCTCTACGGTGATCCCTGGGGAGTGGGCCACACGAGGGGACCCGGGGCTGATTACCCCGCGGGGGTCTGTGGCTGGAGCATGGGCTAACCAGCCTACCTTGGTCGCCAAGGCCCTGGGCACTCCATACCAGGCCGAAAGGCGACTGAATCCTCCCCCGGAGGGCTTGGAAGAGGCTGAAAGCTTCCAGGAGGAGGCATTGGAGTCTGAGGCCAACACCAGTGATGACTACTCCCTGGTGTCTGAGGAGGAGAACGTGGGCGCTGCTGAGACTCCCGAGAACGAGGAGGAGGACATGTAGCAGAGCTCCCCTTTTTTCCTTTTATAAGACCAGCCAACGAAGCTTTGGTCTGGCATTTTGCTACGGCCACCGAAAAATGTTGCACCTGGCAACATTGGGGGAGTGTGTTGCCGTTTTCAAAGAATGACACGCACAAATCAAGAAGTGCTGTCTACTGTAGGACATGGCATGCAGTTTGGACGACCGTTCATAGCATGGCCCCTGCACAAGGATCTTACCGTTTGCACATGGCTCAAGAAAAGGGCAGACTTTTGCACCTGCCTTTCGCAGCCTTATTTCCCAAATCTTAACCTTATTTCCCAAATCTTAACCAATTTCCTAATTTAACAATTCCCCAATTTGTTTCAGCTATTTTTGCTTTGGTGAATTGTTAAATTCAGCTAGCTGATAGATGGGATTAAGAGAAAATGGTGGGAAACCTCTGGTTTCATCGCAGAGTTTGCCATTGGAAATGGCTATGTTGAATCATTGATAGGTACATCATCTGGAACTGATTAAAATAATGAACAAATAATCCCACCCATATGGTCCCTCAAAATGAATAGATCTAAGACCAAACGTTTTTTTTTTTGGGGGGGGGCGGTATTTAACATAAGGGAGAAGGGATTGAGATACCCCTCAAAAATGGAGTTTTTTTTTTTTTTTCCAACTTTCGATAGATGGGATGGTTTTAGTCAACAAACATGGTTGTTTAACCAAGAAACGGGGGATTTTTCTTGCTGGGTTTTGGGTGGATTTGCCAGCCATCTTTGGAGGGTTTGGATCCCAAGAAAAATCCCGAAAAATATCGCTATGATGGTTGATATAGTGTATCCCCCAAAAAAAATCCATGAAATTTCCCATGATTTGAGAGTTATTTTTACAGTGTTTTGTTTCTTGGCCCAGATGACATGGCGTGGTAAAGACCAAACAGAAACTCTACTCACTCGGAAACGGTACATGCACGTTTGAGTTGACAGTAGGATGACTCGATGTTTTGGGTGCCACATAATCTCCACTTCTGATGTTGGTTGTTTGCCAGCATTTTATAGTAACATATAGTAACCGCAACCTATAAAAAGGGAAGCAACATTGGTTATACCACAATTATTTTTGGCATTGGATCTTCAATTATATACCATATTATTATATAGTATTATGTATAATTGTGTATTCTTGTATATTATTATATGTTATTGGATATTATTACATATTGTTATATATTACTATATATGACTACATATATATATATATATTTGGTCACATAGTGTGCATCATGATTCCCAGAAATCTCCGCACGAATGCCCCATGTTCGGAAGAAGGTCTCGTCTTTTTTTGTTCAGGTCTTGGAGATGCAACAGAAGCTCTGCCCTGAGATTTTCGAAGACCACGCGGTTGGACAATGTCACTGGGACCGTTTTTGAAACATCGTTTTGAATGGGAGATGGGCCAAATTCGGGTTGAAACTAATGGCCCTCCCACCCAATGAAAGACACAAAGTGAAGGATTTTGAGAGGTTAAGAAACCTCGCAAATGGACAAGACCCCAACGAAGGAATGAATGAAATTGATATGGTCATAAGAGAACTGGAAGAGGAGGAAAGGGAAAAGAAAAACCAACCCGAACTAAAAAAATGAAAGAGACCCAAAAACTACTTAAAGAAAAAATACCTATATATAGTAAGAGGATGCTATTTACTTATAAAAACTGCGGATGTTGTAAGAAAGAAATGACTGACCTAAAGGATTTATTGAACAATATTTTTCCCGCTGGAATTTGTGATGAGATATGTGATTACAACCTTCACTGTTCAAAATGTAAAGACTTAAACGATAAGGAGCGTAGATACATAGATTTCAATTATCATTTTGACTATTTTAATGATAAAAAACTGACGAGAGTAGAAAAGACAATCTATTTCTTTAAAACAAGGATGGAGAAATCACCTATTTATTTGTCCAACACGAACCGAACAAACACTCGGCAAATGAAAAGAGAAATTGATGTTTTAATGGATACATTCAAACTCAAGCAAAAATTCAAACATGACAAACTGTTCTTAATGGCGATTGAGTCTTTTGTGAAAAAGGAGTGGAAAACTACCTATCACTTCCTTAAAAACTTTCACGACCTTACATATATGACATATTGTAAGAACAAACGGGAGTGGTGGTTTCCTCAAAACGATTGGACTTATACATTCAGAAATAGGGAGTTTAAGGTAAATGACATTTTGAAAATATTTTTGCGTGAATATGTTGAAGAACTGTTCAACGGTTATGAGAAATATTTGAACATAGAAGAAATAAAAGAGTATCTACAAAAAGTGGTAAATACTTAAATAAAAAATAACTATATATAATAAGAGAAAATGAGTAAAGCAAAAATTCAGGTTATAGATAGAGATAATATCGGTATATATGCTGACTTTGGTAGTGAAAGCGAAGATGAACACGAATGTGATAGACAAGCAATAGAAAAGAAGATGAAGAGATTAGAGACTTTGTAAAGTGTCATCCTATGCCTTCACCAGATGATGAGGAAGGAGAATACTGGTGGTTTAAAGTAATTGATAGGCTGAAAAACGACCAAGGAATAAATGGAATGATATTTTTTTCGCTTATGAGATTTGACATTATAAAAAAAAATGTATGAAAACCTCACTAACAAAACAATTATCGTTGAATGTGGTAAGGAACTTAACCGTGATGGAAAATGGGATGCTATGGCAATAAATCAAACTCTATTAGCATTAGCAATAGATGAACTAATTTTAGATGATACAGACGAGCCAACTATCACAAGTCAAGTCAGGATAATTGAACACTGGTGGGATGGAATAGGAAAGTGGAAAGCATAAATGATTAATTCATAATATCTTAACAAAACATATTATGAAGTAATCACCCATCCAAACACAAACATAAACCCCAACAGCCTAAACAATTATCCCCCTCATCTTAAACTAAACCATCAAGTGAAAGTTAGGGGCAAAATATTCCCAAAACCCCCACCACATAAAACATCAAAGATAAGGAAGACACATTGAACAACAACATAAAAAACATAGCAGGCAAAACACCCTCAACAAAGCCTACCCTCATTGAAACCAAACATTATTACAACAACCTAAAACATATATATATAGCAATATAACCAAAAAGAAACAGTCAAACATTTCAGATTACAAGATTGAACAAAAACATAACAGCTTCCCACCTGACCTACAACCTGTCTTGTCCTAGCTTCCCCCTTCTACCATTTTTTTATGGGACATGTTTTCTACATGGGATGGAGAAAAACCACACCAATTCGTTTCTGTTGATCGCATTTACCCTCTGGTTATGACTAGCGTAGCCATGGTATAGATGGCCCATTTATAGTGGATTTTCCCATTAAAAATGGTGATTTTCCATGGCTATGTTAAATAACCAAATGGTATCCATATTTATCCCATTTTTTGACGCTACAAATCATGTCTCTGAAGAGATAGTTTATGGGCCTGAGGAAAACCAAAGAATTTTTACCATCTGACTGGGTATCCCCTATGACTGGGATGATTAAATTTCAGACTCCCTTTTGTGGATGGTTACTGGAATGGTTATTGTTGGGCGAGCCCCCAGTTTTCTGAATTTCAATGTCACTGCGACAATTGGTTAGCAATTTCCATAGAATTCTCTGATCTCTGCTTTTTTAGTTGGATTTCCCATCCCCAGCCATGTTTGAGTAGATTCGTGTGTTCAAAAAACCCACCCGTTTTATTGATGATTCGTTTGGGGAGTATACTAGGCCCCCAAAAAATTTAAGGGGAATATCGTAATTGTGCTGCACCAGATCCCAATACGTGATACAAAATTGGTGGAACTATACTAACCAACAAAAAGTTGGGGAATAACATGAAATACTACCCTCTGGTAATTTAACATAGCTATTGAAAATGGCCATTTATAGTGGATTTTCCCATTAAAAATGGTGATTTTCCATAGCTATGTTAAATTACCAGAGGGTAACATCTACTGACCCCAAAAAAACATTGGGAATTTCTCACAGTCCACGAACCAAGCGTTCGCAAAATCCCAATCTGTCAAGGTAAGCCCTGCACCTTCTTCTGGAAGCCCGAGGGCTGTCACTTGGCTGATTGTTTCCATAGTCGGGGTAGCCCAATAGCTGGATGGTTTATCTCATGGAACATCCCAAACAAACATGGGTGATTTAGGGGTACCCCTATGACTTAGGCATGTATGTATATATATATATTATATATATATATCATATATCTGAGACTAGAGTATCCCCAATTCCAATTATTTATTATGATTATCCCCATTAAAATTGCCACTTGGGGGTGTAACACCATTTTCAGACCAAGCCATATGATGTATGATGTACGATATTTGATACATTATGTATAATGATATTATATACATATGATATATGTATATCAGTCTAGATGTCTACATATCTACCTATCTACCTATAGCTATCTAGCATTATCTAGCATTATCTAGAATTATCAAGCATTATCAAGCATTATCTAGCATTATCTAGCTTTACCTAGTTTTATCCAGCTCTATCTAGCTTTATCTAGCTTTCTATGTATGTAATCTATCTATCTATCTATCTATCTATCCATCCATCCATCCATCCATCCATCTATCCATCTATCCATCTATCCATCTATCCATCCATCTATCTATCTACCTATCTTATTTACCTATCTATCTACCTATCTATCTATCCATCTATCTATCCATCTATCTATCTATCTATCTATCCATCCAATCCTATCTATCTATCCAATCCTATCTATCTATCCAATCCTATCTATCTATCTATCTATCTATCTATATTATTTATCTATTTTTTTATTTATTTAATCTATCTATCTATCTATCTAATCTAATCTAATCTAATCTATTCTAATATTATCTTATCTTATGTTATCTCAACTCTTTTTATCTTATGTTGTCTTATCTGAATCTAATCCAATCTAATCTAATCTTATCTTTTCTATCTTATCTGATCTTATCTTATCTTATATTATCCTATCCTATTCTATCCTATTCTATCCTATTCTATCCTATCCTATCCAATCCTATCTATCTATCTATCTATCTATCTATCTATCTGTTCTACCTTCCTATCTACCTATCTACCTATCTACCTATCTACCTATCTACAGTCTGAGAATCCACCTATCTACCTAGCTACTTAGCTACTTAGCTACCTAGCTACCTAGCTACCTAGCTACCTATCTACCTATCTAATCCTATATATATATATACACATGCACGTGTGTCTGTGTGCGTTTGATCTGTTTCACTTCACGAGTACCTAAATGTCCCATTTAAGCATCAACCAAGCCACAGGGGGCATCATAGTATCCCAACATATCCCCTCAATGTGGAGGTGATGCTCAAAATCACCTCAAAATGAGAAGAAAAGGGTCCCACAGAACCATCAGAAACCGGCCGCAACTGCTGTTGTAAGGTCGCAAATCGGAGGCCCGGGGTCACCAGGGTCACCCAACATGATGGCCACGTCAGCCACGTGGGTCCACGTGGGTCCACGTGGGTCCACGTGGTAAGTTTCATGTGGAGATCGATGTTCAAAACTGCGGAAAAGTTTAGGCCTAAAGAGGCGATTGAAAAACCGGGGTCGGTAAATGTCCCATTTTTGGGATGTTGAACACCACCTTCATGTCTTTGTTGGGATATAGCCCCACTGAGGGGGCAGATCCTGGCCCATGATGGGCACTTACATGGCATAAATATCCAGTTTACTTGGCATAAACAAATGTTTGGTTTCATCCAGAAACCAACATCACCCTGCCACCCTGAAAATATCGCCCGATCGACTCTCTAGTTATTTTTTCAGTAGCTATGGAAGATCATCATTTTCAAGAGGAAAATCATCTGGTTGGTGGTTTGGAACATTAATTTTATTTTCCATAATATATGGGATAATCATCCCAAGTGACTAATATTTTTAAATGACTTTCCATTCAGTTGGGAATGTCATCATCCCAATTGACTTTCACTCCATCATTTTTCAGAGGGGTAGGTGGCTCAACCACCAAGCAGTAAATCATCTATCAAATTTCATGGATTTTCCAGCCACCCACCTCGAGTCTCCAGCCCGTCGTTGCGAGGCATGTCATCATTGCCACCTCTGTCCTCCCAGTGCCTTGAAGGATCGAAAGCTGCAGAAAGTGATGGCCAGGCGCCAGGAGAAAGCAGGCGAGGAAACGAGGAAACACCAAGCAGATATTATGCTGTACATGTAGATGAAGATATTATGTGGATACAATGGAAGAATGAATCTGGATAATGATGATGAGGAA